CCGTGGTCATCTTCTCACTTTTGACCTTCTTTATGTCTACTCTCTCTCTCTCTATTCTTCACTTTAATGTTTTGTTCTCTCCAATATATCCCAATTTCCCTCGTTTTCCATATATCTTCTGTTACTTACAAACCATCAACTCATTCTAACTGTCTCATGCTTTTCCCATCCATGGCTTTCTTCGTCTAGTCCGAGAAAAAGGCTTTTCTCATTTGAACTGACAGAATAAGCAAAAACTATCTCATCGTCCATTACATGTTGTGAGTGGAGCTTTTCGTCTTGGAACAGCCTGGATTTATGTTTTTTCTTTTATTTAGTATGTTTGCCTCACTTGTTTTTCATTTATTCATACACACACACATACATACACACACACACATAGAAACACACCCAGATTTTCTTTTATTCTCTGATCATTTATCTTCTTTGCTTCTCACCCTTGTAATCTTACCCTTCTTCCCTCTTTATCTCTCTCTCTCCTTATTACTTCATCTCTCTCTATGAGCTTAAACGGAGAACGTTTCTTAACAGTTTTGCAATATCCCAGATGATTTTTGTTTCGTCTCATCTCAGATTACATGATATTCTGCTGTGTTACGAAGCATTCAATTTCCAAACATAAGAATAACAACGAAAAATAAAAAAGAAAACAGTTCATTGAGAATATCAAAACGACTCATTTTAATAAAACAAAACTTGTTTTATGACATGTTTTTCTCATTATATTTTCCTTTTTAAAATGAATTTACTCTCTTCTCTCCTTCTCTTCATTCTGTCTCTTGAACGTCAAAAAAAAACTTTCATTTCATCTCCATATTAGGCTCAGCTTACTGCCAGCTTTCTACTGAGAATCAGTCGCTGTGCTGCTGCGAACACTTTTCCCACAATTGACAAAACCTCTTTCTTCTACTCCTTTCGCTACTTCGTTGTTCATTCTCTTTAGTTCAGTAAAAAATTCTGATTTAACACACACACACACACACACACACACTCTCAATATGGCATAATAGGGACAACTAACCGGATGGAGTTCATGAAAATTGACAGAAAAGAGAAATGGCTATTCACATAACAAATGAGAAAACGATGTGACTGTCCATCTTTCTATCTTCTCCTTCTTCATCCATCCTCTTTCTCTTTGTTTCTCCCTTTATCACTGTTTTCATTATCTTGTAGTCTTTATCTATTAACCTCTGGCAAAATGTCATTTGTGTGTTCATCTCTTCTGAAACCATTCCTTTCCAGAAATTATCGCACTTTTTTTATTTATTCCTTTTTATAATCGTCCTTAATCGAATATTCTCGTGAGCAGAAGCATCGCATAGCTTGATGCCAAGGAGAAGACGATTGTAAAGAAGAATAAGAAGAGGACAAGCAGTATGCGGATCAACATGGTTAATGACTATATTAGGACGATTGTCATCATCATCTTCTCATTTAACATTTCTTTTCTTTCTACCCTCTCTCATTATCTCTTAATCTCTCTTACACAGATTCTCTACATTCTCTCTCTTATTACTGTTGTTAATATAATTCAGTCATAGCACGTTCGTTGCCTCCTTTTTGCCACATCTGTCCAATACCATCGAAATACAAAGAGAAATATGTAGAAAGGAGAATAAGAGAGAAATATATGAAATTAACAGAGAAAATATAAGAGAACTAAGAGAATAACGGAGAGCTCTTTTGCCACCCTCTCTTCGTTCTCTTTCATTTCCAATACTAGCAATTATTTATAGTGAACAGCTTGGTCAATTTCTTTTTGGCTAAGATGACAGACATACAAACGTCGTCAATCCTCTGCTTGTTTCCGTGTTCCTTCAACTTTTTCGTTTTTTCATCTTTTCAATTTTCTTCACAAAAAATACTTTTTATTATCTCACATTTCGCCATTCGCGTTTACTTTGGGTTACCTACCTACAGATTTCGTAAGCCTTTTCCAAACAGTATCGAGACTGTTGAACGCTTCTCTCTCATATACACACACTCATAAAATCTTGTCGGAAGTAGTCATTTCTCCAATATGTTTAAGAACTGTTTTTCATAATCTTTTTTTCTTTCATATTGGCCGTCTTTCTTCTTCTCTCCTTTCCTCACCAATACTCATCCATCGTTTTCAGTATCGAAATTTATTTTATTTGTGTTGTCAACAGAACATCTTGAACTAACCTTCTTGCCTTCTATACAATCTATCTCTTCATTCTCCCTATCCATATAACTCCCAATTTTTGTAAACTCATTGTCTTCTCACTGTCATCCGATTCTGTCGGGTTTTTCTGATTCTCTTTCACATCTAATTTTCATTAGTTCAACCAACTTCAGCTCTCTCTCTTTATCTTATTTGATGAAGCTCAATCAAAACCTCTCTTCAACAGCCAAATGGGTGGCCGTAAGTCATTTTGTTTGGCATTATGGCATCTTCATCCGTTCCGTTTCTCAGGATTCAAATCCTCATTTTCAAGACCAAAGGCCTGATGCTTTTGGCAATCGGACAGCTTGAGCATGTTTTCCATTTTCGGCAATTCGACACCGTTGTCATTTGGCTGTGTGGCAACGAGAAGTAGATGGCTCATGTTAGATTTGTGTCTTATACTTCCATTCGCTTTTCTCTTTTATACTCACTTTCTAATTATTCCATAAGCTCTTCATCAAATTATTTTTTTTTATAAAAAAGGGCGTAGTTTTCTAGATACTCCTCATAATGGTTCTTATTCAGTTGAACAGTGTCAAACTAATGGCAAACCTCACATGATCTTTATCCTTATTTGGAGTTTGTTTTTCATTTCCTGCCAAAGTGAATATACGGCCAATGAAGTCGCATTCTCTTCATTCCTCTCTCAACTTTTTTTTCTCTCTTTTTACCCTCTTTTTCTCTCATTTCCATTCTGATCTTGACATTGAGCAACAAGTATTCTAAACGTTGAAAACTTTAGTAGAAAGACTTCATTCTTTGTTTTTTAACTCGTTATCTCCACCTATGTTTCTCTCGTTCTCTCTTTGTATTACCCTCTTTCTCTCACACTCCGCTCATTTTCTTTTTTTTTGATCTTCAATTCACTGACCTCGCTGTTTGCATCCTACGAGATCTTTCGGATTGACATGTGCTTTATGGGATTATTGTCATCTGATGCTAGCAACGGCGACAGTCCTCTAGCCAAAGTATCATAGACGACCAAACCCAATTGTTAGCATCCGGAACATTCGCTTTTTCTTCTTCTTCTTTTTTTTTTCATCTCATATCTTTTTTTTTTGGAGATGACATTCATCATGTTGTAGCGGATGACTATCAAGCATGATTCCATCAAGTAATAGGCTTCATTGTGCCCTTTTATGGTTGTTTCTCACATTCATAATTCAGTTGTTCAAGTACCTTCCATCCATCTCTTCTTTCTTCATTACTTATATTCTGTTGTTTTGAGTCAGCGAACAACGCTTGAGAAAGCTTGAGTCCTTTGGCTTCAATGATTCTAATTCGATGGTTTTGCAACGGCATGGACAAATTAATGACAATATATTCTATTTTACAAATGAATTTCTTCCATCTATTTAACCTTTAATGCTCATCGTCTTGTTTCATCTATTTTTTCTTTTCTCTCTTTTTCAATAATCGTTATATACATAGTATGAGTGAAAAGAGATTCAACCGAAACGGTCTCGACGGTTTTCTTCCAGTTTTTTTTCATCCTCACTCTCTCATCTTCGCTCTCTTTGTATCTATCTTACTCTCTCTGTAGTCTCTCCCGTTTTTCGTTCAAAATCTATTTTCTTCATCTTTTTTTTTCTCGAGTCTGCAACAAGCACAACTTTGAGCAAATCTTTCTCGTGAATTCTTATTGCTTACTATGTTTTCTCCTTTTCGCAGAAGTCTGTACTTTTTTCCAATTTTCCTTCTTCCCATCCACTATTGAGTCTGTTTGTTTCGTTTTTTCCATCTAATACATCTCTGATAATACGGCTTGAGCACGCTCACCAGAATAACAACATAAAGATGACTGCACTTCTTCAACTCTCTTTCCGCCGTTTACTTTCTTTTTTCTCTCTCAAAAATTCATTTTGCATATGAAATTTGAAGAAACAGCTTTTGTGATGAGTGAAAGATGAAAAAGAGGAAAGAAATCATCTGAAATTCAATGATGATCATGATGATGATCAAGAAGCTGTCGAGTTGAACGACAATAAAAGAGGACAGGAAGCAAAGAAAACAACAAAAAAAACGTTGCAGCTGGCTGTTGGATAAATATTTTGACGTTCTTCTCTGACTCTCTCTCGCTCTCGCTCCCTCTCTCTCTCTCTCTTCCTCTTTAATCTAACTATCTTGGCTTTGTCATGAGCACTACGCACTTCTATCAAAAATTCTACTTTAATCCATTCATCATTTTATTTTTTTTGTTTTAACTGTTCTCATTTATTCTGTTCGCATCTTCTTTTGTTATTTTTTTTGTGTGTGTCTGTTTTCATTGAATACCGTTCAAATGAATAAAGTCACAAAAAAAATAACATCAAATCTGTGTCACCGTTGTGCCTTCAGCGCTTTGGCCTGAGGTCAGGTCAAACTACGTACTCTTCGACTTTCCTATCTCAAGCACCTCATAACCCATCCAGTGTTTTTCCTTCCTTACTAGACTGTATGGTTTTTCTCATGCATAACTCATTTTTTGAAACATTTATACTTTATTTCTACTTGTTTTCTCATCTGTAATAGTTTAGATTACAATAATGTCAATGAGTCGACACTTGACATCACCGTCAGTCAGTCTTCACTCTCTCACATTCACACACATACACATTCACACACACACTCTCACTCACTATCTCTCACTATATTTCGCTAACATACACTGTTTTCAGATATTATTTGTTTCTCTCGTTTTTTTTTCTTTCACACAATTAGTTTGCTTTGTGATTTCTACTGCTTCTCATTTATCTTTTTGATATTCATGTTTCGTTTTTTTTTCTTAATCTTTTAGTTTACATCAATTATCATTGCAGCACTGAAACAAATGTCAAGCAGTACATACAATCTCAGACCCATTCTCCTACCCTCTCCTCCACACAAAAAGATGGCCATGGTATGGGAATTGTTATCAAAAATTGTTTTTCTCATAAAATTATTTGTTGTAGGAATCACCACCGGGTGAACTTTATAATCGATCACCTCTGCCATCAATCGAAACTCTACTTCCTCAATCACCCCATTCGCCTTCAAACTTTTTTCAACCAAATGGATTTTGCTCTTTCAATCCCGGAAATGGTAATACATCTATCTTTTCATATTTTTAATAATTTTACATTTTTTTTTCCAGGCACAATCACTCCCATTCATCAGCCATTAACGATTATAACTGATGAACGATTTTTGAACGGATCCATGTATTATCCGACCCAGTACCCTGTTAATTACAGTCACCAGTTCCAACCGTTGTTTTGAAATCGAGAAGAAAAAGAAGAAGAAATATAAAAATGCCAGAAGAAATAGTTGAAGGATGATAAAATATGTTGATTATTCATGTTATCCCCTCCCCTCCCCCAGTTGTACATGTATATAAAATAAGATTGACGGGTTCTACACAAAAAATTGTTGTTACAAGCTTTAATTGAATAAAACATTTTGAAGAAATTCGTTTTTGTTTTATTTTTTTTCATTTGATATGCTCGTTTTCTCTTTCACAATGTTTCCGTCTCCCTCTGTTGCTCTCTCTCTCTCTTACTGTCTCTCTACCTCTTCTAAACACATACAATCTATTTCTACTCATTTCATAAGTTTTTAATTAATTTTGTGTTTTGTTTGAAATAGAAGAAAAAAATGAAAATGAGCGTACCCATAATCTGAGGACAGCTATCGTCTCCATCGTGAACACGTGTTGCTATCATAACGCTCCTAACTCTATTATTTTCATCCAAATACAAACGTCCACTTGTATCTATATATTTGCATTTTCTTTTTCAATTCTATATATGTTAAATAATTAAACTGACAGTGTTGACCACTTCCCACATAATACTGTGAGTGATAGTCGTCGAAGGATTGTCTGTTGCCTCCGCCGCCACAACCTGAATTCATCTTTGTCATCTTCATTTCTTTATTTTATTTCTTAAAAAAAACATCTTTCCCTGTTTATTTTCAAAATACACACACAGATAGACAGGCATACGCGCATACATACGGTGATTCGAACTGTGTTCTATGAACACCAAATTGGAAGAAAAGGCGCCAAACTCTCTATCACACACACACGCACACATTCACGTGTGCATTCCCGATCCGATGCGTCTAATTGGTTTGAAAAATATTTTTTTTGAATTTTTTTTTGTCTAAAAAAGATCTGCCACACATTCCTATCTGTTTTTGTTTGAAAATATTTGAAAATTAGTAATTGGAGTGCTTTAAATGGAATTAAGTGCAATTACAGCTCATAATTGGAGGGAAAAATGAAAATCAAACAGATAGAAAAATTTATTTTTTTGTGATGATGATGGTTATGGGCTGTGATAGTTGTGGTGGTGATTGTAGTAAATTGAAAGTATCTCAAACCTCTTATGGCAAAGCGAATACAGCAAGACATGACGAGTATCATAATGAATAATGGAGTAAAATATGTTAAGAGATCGTTGTCAATCATCTGAAGTTTATCAAGGAGGAAAATAAAAGAATCAAAAATGAAAGAAAAAGATATTTAAAGAAAGAAAAAAAATGTTGGAAGAATGCATTGGCTTCCCAGCCGTTATTGATGGATCATTTGGCTTAGTCGCTAGGTAACTATGGCTGTTTAAAGCTTCAAAGAGACATGAACAAAGACAAGTTTATTATTTTCTATTCAATTTTTATTAAAATTTTTTTTATTAATAAAACAAAATGAAATTTGGTTTTGCACGGAATGTTCAACGAACCACCAGCAATGTCAAGTTATGGATCATGAAGAAGTAAGCGAGAAGATGGATAGTGAGTGACCATAAAATAAAGAATAAAAAATTCCTTTTTGAGCTTCATCTTCTTCTATTTCTCTTCATAAATATTGTTTTTCTTGCTTGATAGAGAGAGATTATGTTGAAATTTGGTGAAAGTTTTTTGTGCGAACAAATGATTCCTTATAACATGTATCGATTATAAATAAACGGAAGAGGAAAAACGTATAATTATAGTTTTTGTATTACTGGAAGAGAAAGAGAGAAAGAGAAGAAAAAAAAACGAATCTGAGCTTTGCGTTTTAAGAAAAAACACTTTTGAACGGAAAAAACCTCGTTGAACAACCACATTGCATTGGATGGAGTGAAGTTCTAACGGGTCAAAGCACATGCAAGTAGAGAATTATGAAAAGAAATGTGAATGCAAGTGAGAAGTTTGTAAGCTCATAATTCGAAAAAGAAAATGCGAGAGAAAGAATGAAATACGAAGAGAAACAGATTGTGAGAGAAAGAGAGAGAGAGGGAAATAGAGAGAGAGAGAGAAAAATAAATCTTTTCAAAAACTATTTTTACTTTCCTGTTCATATCGTTGGATAAAAGTTCTAATCTCTCAATTTTCGAGAATTCAAATTCTTACGTCACGTATACGTACACGTGCATCAGATATCATTTTGATTTCAGAAAGTGAAGGAAACGGTTGTATCAATGGGAGGTTCTGACGTATTTCCTTATAAAACCAAAAAATAACAGAGAATGTATTAAGGACAAAGGCATTATTGAGAAAAACAATAATATCTTTGGAAGTTATAATTGGATTGAAGGGCAGTAAGGCTGCTGAGGAAGCTTAAGGCATTTCCATGTTCATATCCATAACGATGATGTTATATCAGAGCTGCTGTTGCAATCTTCAACACATATCACTATGATTAGAATCGAGGGTATTGGTAATAGAATGAGTCTAATGAGGTTATTACGGTAATATTAAATAAGAAAATAGAAAAACTAATAACTGTTAGCTTGAACCTCGTGGGGAGAGGGGGGGGGAAGTGTAAGACAAAGTAACAAGTAATAGCTCGGCGGAAACATAATCGAGCAATCATATGTCTCAATTGCCATTTTTTGTGCTTAAACATGAGAAAGGGAAGAAGAAGATGAAGAAAGTAAAATCTTTCCCTTCCTGTCTCCCCCCCCCCTCATACCATATTCTCTCCTCCTCACCTCCCTTTCCCTCCTCTTTCCTTCCTCTCTATAATTTTCCCTGTTCAATCTAAAGGTGTCCGTATTTGATTAAAAATTAGAATATTCAAATGAAACAAAAGAATAATTTCCTTTTTTTATTTACTTTTTTTGTTTCTAAAATGGATTAATGCTGTTCAAACATGTTTTGAATGGAGTTCCTTCCTTTATTGGAAAACTTCATATAAAATATGTTAAAATCTGTTAATATCAATCGTTTATCATAATGATTGTCATTATGCTATTCATTGCTTCTCTAGCATTACCACTAGAAGCAGCTGAAGTCTGTACAGGTCTATGTGAGATTCCATAATTCATTTTGTACTTTCATTTCAATACATTATAGTATGTGATGATTCTGTTCAACACTGTGCTGTTGGATTGTTTTGTAAGCTAAATGTGAGAACGTATGATTATAATTTCTTTTTCACCTTTTTCATATTCAGGGCTTCATCGGTGAGTGTTGTGTCAATTCTGGTCCGGCTACTGCCTCACCTACAAACTCACCCATCAATCCACTATTATACTTGACAACAAGTCCTCTTCCTAGTTTGTACCAAACAACAAGCCACAAATACACTACAAGAGGTTTCCTACGAAACAAATTCTTGTATTCAAAGAAAAAAAGAGTTTTTTTAAGATTATACGACTACAAGCAGTCATCGTACATTGTACCCACATGTAACACATTCGACAGTTCACAACAACCACTGTGAGGATCGTGTTCATCCACAAACAAAAATTTCTGATTGTTCTTCGAAGTATTGATTACCGGAAAACGTTTTTATATCAAAACATCATTTACAGAAAGTATTTATGTAATGAGAAACTCTACTACAACTTCATGACATATCAATGTCCGAAAACATGTGGACGATGTAGTTATGTTGCCAATCCTGTCACGCCATCAAGAAGTTCGAAGACATATTAAAACTGCTTTCTCTTATACAAAATCATTTATTCATTTTCAGTTTGTCAGGACAAAGTAAACTTCTTTACAGGAGTAAGTGATTGTGCTCAGAAAAGCTTTCTCTGTCAGAATGCGAGTTATAAGTATTCAATGATCTTTGATACATACTAGTAATCATGCTGTATTACAGATCAGTGATGGCAGCTCAATGTCCAAGAACTTGTCGTCTATGTTAAATGATATTATTTATTTATTTATTATTGTATAAATATCATTATGAGTAAATAAACTTATAGAAAATATAAATTTATAATGAAATGAAGAAATAAAGAAATAAAAAGAAATGCATCTGAACAAACTCACTCATAGGCATAACAGCATGGTTAAGCTTCAATTGTAAACAAAAAAAATATATATAAAAAGGTAATGAATCTATGAGACACTCATCTTCCATACAATGTTCGGATTCTTCGTATTCTTCCTTTGCTTCCACTACTCATCTGCTTTCTGCAATGCAACCATGGGTTTCAAGCTCTCAACATATCTCTCTCTATCTGACTATTCTTTCCAGTTTGCGACGATTTTCTGATGACTTGTGATACAAACTATATGTGCAACATAACGACTGGACAAACTACTGGAATCTGCTGTTATACTGGCACGAGTGGAACGACACGTAAGAGCTTTCTCTTTTGATATTTCTTATTCACACCAAATATTGTGGAATACACAACCGCTGTTTGCGTTCTCAACGTTCGAAATGATAACACGTAAAACAAATTCTTACGTGAAACCATTCTTTTGCTTTTTAATTATAATTTTACCGTTCAGTCAATCCATTTGGACCTAACTCGAGATGCGCTGACAAACTTGGACCACAAGGTAACGTCATTAGCAGGTTAATGTCAACTACTCACTTTGAACGTATAGGTCAAAGCGATTGCAAGAAAAGAGCTAATTTATGCGATGATGAGCTTTATTATAATGTTATGACCCAACAGTGCCCTGTCACATGCAATAGATGCTCACTCATTCCAACAGTTCCAATAGGTTTCCATTTCACACCTCAATATTTGTTATACTTGCTATTAAGGCTGTGCCGATAGGCCATCACCTACTGGCCGTGCTTCGGAATGTCAAAAAAGAAGAAATTTATGCTCCGACCCTGTTTACTTCGATGTTATGACAAGGGAATGTCCAAAAACATGTAATAGGTAATTCATTGACAATAAGAGTTGAAAGATTGAGATATACTCATAGATGTGGATTTGTCACAAGCACGACACCTTCATATGGAAAATAACCAGCTTCACTAACTTATTGAATTTGAAATAAATATCATTCACTAAGTGTTTTCTTTTCATTTCAAACCAACAAACAAGCAAGAGATGTGCATCTTGAGTATTTATTGGGGAAAACACTTATCTCTAATTGTGAAAAACTGTTTTCTTCACATTTTCAAATCAGTCTGCACTCATCGTATAGAACATAGCTAATGTTACTCTTTAATATCATATTTTTATTGCCTACATTCCTCAAGAGTCAAGAGTGTCATGGAAAGCTACCAGAAGCTGAACAGTTGGGTTTGTCGTTCATTCAATAGTTTAAACTTATGTTTCACTTGCTTTATTCAGTTTCTGTTCGAGTAGTAACGGATGGGGAACTCAACTTCGTTTCTGAATTGCCTATTGAAGCTGAAAGTACTGATGGAGAAGGTCAAATGCTCAAATCGTCTGACAATTCATGTCCTGTGTCCTGTGTTTATCAGATCAAAAGTTATATAGCTGACCATTCCGGTAATTCTATAATTGTTTCTAAATGATATGAACATTCAGCTTCTATCTTGCACGTGAGAGAGCCTAATCCGTCATTTGTTCCACCAGGCTATTCACTTCTTAGCTCTGAGCAGTTTCTTTGTGCGAGGGAAGCCGGATTCTGTGGAGCTTTCGTTCCTCTCTTTAGACATTATCGGATGGAGTTTGGGAAAATTTGTAAGAAAAAGCTGAGATAGTAAAAGTTCATTTTATACATTACAGACCATGCATACAGTTTAAATGCTACATCATTATATCCGAACTATACAAGAGAATCAGCGATATGCTATTTATGGCCGACATCAATAATGCCTGAGGGTTTGAAGCCAGTTGGAGAAAAGCCAATTGGTTAAGTTAAAATGAATTAACATAATCTACAAGTTTTTGGACATTGCTCTTTCATGACATTTCTGAAATTAAAACATTTTCTAATTTTATAGTATTTTCAAAGATATACTTGTATAAGGGGGAGTTACATAGATGGGCTGTTGCAGGGCAATCACTTCTCCCCGTTCGCGGATTCTTCTTATCTTCGCAACCTGAACAAATAATTGATTTATGTTTCAAAGAAAGGTAAAGAACCTATTTTGACTCCGGACTGTGAAGTGCTCTTATTACATCTGAAAGGTTAATGGATTATGTATACTAACTGTACTGAATAGATTGTACCTGTTGCAAGTCTTGGGGCATTGGATTGTCATCAAGTCATAGTAAATCTTGTCTTGACACAAATAAGCTCTTAATTTGAAAATATGAAATAGAAGTTTAAATGAAAAACCTCGATGGGCAGTCAGACTGTCCAGTGCTCTTATTCAAAAGATCAACACAGTTTTGAGATTCTGAAACGATGAAAAAGATTCTTCTAGGATTTTTTCATACTTTTTCCTGTCACGATTGTTCTAGGTATTACAGGAATGACGGCGGTTTGAGATAAGCAGCATCTACCGAATCCATTTTCCTGAAAAGATTGAGACCCATAGACTGCTAGTTTCCTTACTATGTTCAAGCACTCCATACCAGTCGGACATGTTAATCCATTTGTATTAGCTAGATCACAAACTATAAAGAAAGAATTTGAGCTGAAAACAGATGAAATTTACGTTGTAGACTGCAATTCTCTTGAGCAAAAGCAGAAGCGACAAGTATCAGGAAGAACAGCATGATTCATGAAAATGAGATTTAGCGCCGGGTTTTATATCCATATCAGTCATGCAAACAACCAATCAGTGTCCAGCCCTCTCACAATGATTAGCTGAGTAAACAGGGCATTTGAATATTCAAAAAGCTAATTTAGGAAATGCTTTGTTAACACTTTATTTTAAAGATATTAATAAACAAAAAAGCGTTAAATATGCGGACAGGGAAGTAAAGCTTTAGAGAATCGTAAGCTTCTTATGAAATTGGGGGAAGCTCGACGAGATTGTAAGAACTTCAGTAGTCTCGTGAATTTAATCTTCTGTTTTGTTATCAGTAAACTTTCTTTTTAATATTTATTGGGAATTGTCTTAGTTTCAGACCTTAATGCTGGGATTAAGCTAGTAATATTACATTTTATTACTTCTACGGTTTCTTTATGAAACTGTTAAGGCTTCTCCTACACATTTTTCGGGAGAATAATCGGAATGACACCCTTCTGTACGGTTTGTTAAAATTTTATTCTAATATTTGTTAGAGAATTTATGATTCAGATCTTTCTCCTATGCTCAATGTTAGTGATGGTCTCAGGTCAGATGCAGGAACTGAGAATTGGTCTCTTATTCAATCGACAGAACACCAGTAGGGCCAAACTCATTGGATACTTGGTAAGCTTATTCATTATTCTTCTAAAATTCTTGAAATACCAACAAATCAAAAAAAATTATTTATTCTTCTGACTTGTAGAACAGTGCATCCGCTGTAGATATTGCTATGCAAAGAGTGAGGGAAGATCATCTTCTTGATAATTTCAATGTGACGTGAGTATATCACGGTAAAAAGCAGTATCGTTCATTACTCAGATTCATCACCGACTTCGATGACTGCGACGAGAGTCTTGCTATGGAGGCTACTTCTTCTCTTCTCCTAGATTATAATGTTGATGCTATCATTGGTCCGACCTGTGATCGACGTAATGACAATTGTTTCATTCTATTCTCAAACTTTTATTTCAGCTGCATTGACCGCAGCCATTATCGCTGCTTATTTCAATATTCCCATTTACCCATGGGGGATGGTCACAACTTCGAATTTAGCCGGCGCCGAGATATATGCCACTTGTATAAGTTTGATGGCAACAACTGAAACGTCTGTCATTTTCTTCTAAAGCATATGTTGAGAGAATGTTTTAAGAGTGGCTGAATCTATCGTAGAGATTTATCGATACTACCAATGGACTGAATATGGCTTCATTAGTACAGATACAGATAAATGTACTTATCTTCGTTCCGATATACAAGTTCTCAAAAAACAAATTAGATGTTAGTAGTAGTTTCTAATTCAGAAAGCATCAGATCGCGATAATGAAACCTATATTACTGTTCAATATGTGTTGTATGACTATTCAGTGGAATCTATGAGAGACATCTTTTCTCGAATGAAAAATAGAACCAGAGGTAAGAATAACACACTTCTTCTTCAACGGATTATGTTTTAGTTATCACTATCTGTCTTCCTGATGAGCTATACACTGCGAGAAGGTTTATGTTGGCTGCTTCTGATGAAAAAATGATAAACGACGAGTTTGTTTTTGTTTTTCTTGTGACGACTGGAAATGGATATGGTATTAGTCAGCTTTTTTTTCTTGGGTCCATAGAACTCTTTAAGACGATGTTGATGATGAAGGCAATGTTCGAAAGGTATGGGTTGATATGAATTCACCGGGAGATGGACGAGACGAAGAGGCGCGTTTAGCATTCGAAAAAACATTTTTTGTAAGTTCGAAAACTTGGGAATCGTGTAGCCATTGTTTAGATTATAACTTCTATGGTTAACGCGGACGAACAATTAGATTTCAAACAAGAGGTGATGGAAAGGATGAAGCTACCTCCTTATAGTTGTGGAGCCGCATGTAATGAATTAGAGGTAGGAATGAAAGTGAATTTCAATAATGAATTCATGGAAGGCTGCTGATTTGGCTTCGCAGCTTCATGATGCTGTTTATCTTTATATGCTTACGTTGAATAGAAGTGTAGAGGAGTTTGGATTAGATCAAATACGAAACGGATCTATGGTTGTCACACTAAGTGAAGACTCCTTTGATGGTACATTCTTCTGAAATAAAAGCGAAACTTTTGTTCCAATGATTTACAGGGGAATCTGGACGTGTTGTGATCGACTCAACAGGACAGCGCTGTCCGATAATCAATTTTGTTAATTTGAATCAATCATATGAGGCTCAAGTGGTTTTACAAATAAGTATCTGCGAATTGGATAAAGTAAATGCCTTGTGAGAACATCAAAACTTAGTTGTTTTTCAGAATGTTACTCCAGTTATAGCGGAGACGTCCAAAGTATTCCATGCTTATGGAGGTAAAACACCTCCTCCTGTTCCTATTTGTGGTTTCACAGGTTTTAAACGAATAAGGAGAGCTTTAAAGGTCATTTTGAGGAAACAATTGTCCCTTGAACTTTGTGAAAGATTATCTGTGGATTGTCGTCGTGGGCGTGGTGATTATCGTAATTGCAGTATTAGCTGTTCTTGGTGCGCTGCTTGTAGCTTACAAGTCAGTTTTGTTAAAATTTGTGCGTTTATCTGTTATCTTAGACAAAAAAAAGATGAACAAGAGCGACTTAATATGGCTTGGCAAATCCCACTACTACAGTTATTGAAAATAACTAATAAAGCCGGTATTGAATCACAGAGATCATTACAAAGTGGTCCGAGTACGACTTCGACTAAGATCACTATGGAAAGTAGAACGGAAACGAACAGATTTGCCTTCTTTTTATACATGAAGGTTTGGTTCTCTTGTTCATGTTCGTATCTTTAACACTTCCTAAGGAGCCCATAGCAGCGGAAAAAATTAATGTGAGACCTCCATTGCTTAGAGAAGATATGTCTTACCTGCGCAAGGTTTTTCGAACTATCAGTGTAATGAGTAATTAATCTGAGTTTAGATGAGGGATTTGCAGAGTGATAACTTGAATCGTTTCATCGGCATGTGCATAGAAGGACCCATCTACTACACTTGCTGGAGATACTGTAGTCGTGGAAGCATCAAAGTAAACTTCCGTCTCATCGTCATACCCGGATATCTTCTTTTTAGGATGTTATGACAAAAACGTCTATAACTATGGATGGTTTTTTCATTTATTGTCTAGTGAAAGACATAGTGAATGTTAGATTATCTATTTGAACATTGTATTGTATTACTATTTATAGGGACTCTTCTATATCCACAAATCTTTCATGGGATATCATGGCTATTTGACTTCTTCTGCATGTCTAGTTGATGATCGCTGGCAGGTCAAAATATCAGCATATGGAGTACCATTTCTCAGAGAGATAGAGAAAAGAACGGAAGAAGGTAAATCAAATATATTTTTAAGTTTTACTAATCAGAAATATCTAAGAACAACTCTACACAGCGCCAGAAATTTTGAGAGATTCCATGAACATGGTGGGATCACCTGAGGGAGATATATACAGGTAGGAATCTTCTTGTGAATGTGATGCTGATTTATGTTTTATCAGTCTGGCAATTCTGTTCTCAGAAATGGTAGCAAGAACATCAGCTTGGAATTTAGAAAATAGGAAAGAAGATGCTGACGGTAGAAACAGTTGTTTGAACATGATGTGTTTTTTTTCTAGAAATCATCTTTATGGTTAAGAAAGGTGGTCGCCAAAAGTTGAGACCAGAATTGGAATGCCATGAAAGTATCGAAGTCAACCCTGCTCTGGTTAGACATCTTTTTCGTACAGTTGTGAACTTACCGTTTAGTTGGCGCTATGTCGAGATTGTTGGGAAGAAGAACCTAGAGACCGTCCTGATATAGCAACTATAAAAAACTTGCTAAGAAATATGAATCACGGAAGGTTTTGATACATTCCATCTGATTCAAAAACAGAATTATTAAGGAGCGACAACTTAATGGACCATGTGTTCAATATGCTGGAGCAGTATGCAACAACGCTCGAAGAAGAAGTAGAAGAGAGAATGAAAGAGCTGACAGAAGAAAAAAAGAAGAGTGACCTTCTGTTGTACAGAATGTTGCCAAAGTATGATGACATGAGAGAAAAATAAAATACTCTTCACTTTTCAGACAAGTTGCAGATAAGTTGAAGCTTGGACAGTCGGTTCAACCAGAAACTTTTGAATGCGTCACACTGTTCTTTTCGGATGTGGTCTCATTCACAACATTGGCCAGCAAGTGTACACCTCTTCAGGTTAGCTTGGCGTCACTCAAATTAGAATATACCAAACGATTCAGGTTGTAACATTGTTGAATGAACTTTACACTATCTTTGATAGTGTTATCGATGAACATGATGTATATAAGGTATGATTTCATGATAGTAATATGTTATTTGATTATTAACTAAGGTTGAGACTATCGGTGATGGATACTTATGTGTTTCTGGACTACCTTTCAGAAATGGAACCGAGCATATCAAAGTTGTTACTGATTCAAGTAGCGGTATAAACAGACCTTTTAAGGAAATTTGTAACATGTCAATCGGCTTGCTCCGTGGATTACTACCCTTTCGTGTACCACATCTTCCGACGGAAAGAGTTAATATACGTATTGGGGTTCACACAGGTATTTATTGCTTCGTTGAACTGGAAGAAACAAAAGCTTCGGTCAGGATCATGCGTGGCTGGGGTTGTTGGTCTAACGATGCCGCGTTATTGCTTATTCGGAGATACTGTTAATACCGCCAGTCGTATGGAAAGCAATGGAAAAGGTAATTTTTGCATTCTATCAAAATAAAAACTTCTGTTTAGCTGGACAAATCCATTTGTCTTCTGACGCCAACGATTTACTGAGCATGAACTATCCACAGTTCAGAACTGAGAGCAGAGGAGAAGTGATAGTCAAGGTATTTTCAGATAATTCGGAAAATTATGTATAATCTGCACTTTCAAGGGTAAAGGAGTCATGCAGACATTCTGGTTGGTGTTCACCCTCTAGTTAATTGGATCTCATTCCGAATATAATATTCCGTTGTTATCCTATCTTCGAAACAATAATGCTGAGACAATCTCCGATAACTGAGAACTATTATTGTCATTGAGCAGCTTTCTACACTTTCTTAGTTTTAATTACGAAAACCAGTAATAGAGAATTGTTAAAAATTTTCATACTGTCCGACTCATATGAAATCCATGTCCTGAGAATATGCGAAGAAGTAGAAAGAATAATTATTTACGCCATACATATTCATATATTTAATGCATCAACGGGAAAACTGTTCTCAATTTGTAATGAATACCTTTGTTGCTGTCTTTTCTCTACGATCCCTGAACTTGAAGCTGATTTCGTACATACAACATACATTTTCCTCGTTTTGCACAACCGCTCAGTCACGCTTGAAGTGCAGAATGATCGCTGGAATCTTTAGCGTATCTAATAATGGTTCTTAAAATATGGAAAGAAACTGGCAAAATTCTTTTTTTTCGAAAACAAATAAATTAGCACGGTCGTGCATGAAACTTAGAAACATTGGACTCGCAATGTACTAACGTGGTCTTATGGATGTCTCATTCGTCGTTCACATTGACACAAATTAAGTGCATGGTACTAATGTGCACAGATGGACATCGAATGGTAAGTTCTCTCGCTATTTTCTATTAATCTCATTGTTTGTTAGAACTAATATTTCAAACTTGAATAGAATTTTTTTATAAGCAAAAATAAAGTATGTAAACAACAATGACTGAGAACACCTAAAATTTCAAGAAATCAAAACTTGGCGTCTTCTCTGCACTTTCATAAACTATTGTAAAAGTTTTAGAACAATTAAAAGACAAAAGCTAACTTTAGGACATTTGAGAGAGACTAAGACATGTAAGACCTATTCTTGCTTCTTCCATCCTTGGAACTATTGCACAATCTTGAATAGAGAACGTGTTCTTGCGTACTCTTTGCGATAGATGTGCTGTGAACGGGATCGAACTCATGACCCACCAGTACTAAGTAAACTCTACAAATAAAGCTACTATAATGGATGGAGGAAACTTTTCAAGTATTATTAGAACATGAAATACAAACAGATAGTGTAGCATATACTTGGCAGGGCTCGACTCGACTCGAGGTGCTCAAAGATCGAGCTCGAGTCGAGCCTGGACTCGAGTTCGGCTCGAGACCTTTTTTCGATTTCGAGCTGGGCTCGAGATCGACTCGAACTGTTTTTCTGATTTCGAGCCCAGCTCGAGTTCGGCTCGAGACCATTTTTTAATAAGAAGAAAATGCGTTAAAATAGAGTTAAGCATAGAAGGTCCTAACACACCCCCCAATTTATATTCGGTCCATGACAGCCAAGTTAAGAAGAACTGAGATAGAAATAAATTGGCGAGGTGACAGCAAAAAGTTACCTTTTGTGGTAGTAAAGTCTAGAAAGATGAAGCTAATCTTAGGCGTTGATGTATTCGAACAGTTAGGAATAAAAATTTTAGTGGAGTCAGAAAACCTTTGTGAGAAGGCGAAAAGATTAGAACCCATTGTCGTGTGCTCTATTGGAAGCGAGATCGTAGATGAATACAAGGAAGGATCTCTTGTAGTAGAATACTTCACACTCACCGAATTCTTCCCACCATCCAAGAAAGCCGAAAAAAACTAGAACAAGAAGCTAGCTCTTTTTTTCGCCACTAGCTCATCTTCCTACTCTCTGGTGGAGCACAAGCTTTTTCAAGACCTGTGTAGAACTTGCCCAACGGATTTTAAGTTTCCTTCAAGGAAAGTCATCCCCAGATTAATCCGAACTTATGCAGAAGAAGTGGATAAACTGCTACTCCTTTGAACCAAATAAACTATATATTTTCTTGATTCCATCGACTAGAACTCTGAGGTCACATTCACATTCATATATATTAAACCCAACATAAGAAATCATAAAGATGGAACGATAGTTTTATTCTCAATATAGTAAATAAATAAGCCATTGTCACAAGGTTTTAGATATTCGTAAACAAATTTCGATTTTTTTTACGGACTCCACTAAATTTGTTTAAAATGAGAAATGAAGAGTGATATTCCTGAACTTACCGATAGTGAATATTCTTGATTGTTTTCACACAATGCCTATAACAATGACATTACTAGAAAGAGATTGAAAAAAAGCTTACGTCAAAGTAAACTGTTGTGCTTACACGCTCCGCTTTCTTAGGGCTGACGCGACGACGTCCGAATGCGGCATTTGCAGCAGTTCTTGCTTAAGTTGCAGCAAACGCATGAGCCTCACACTGAGTAACCGCTGCGCTCACAAGTAGGCTTAAATCAACCCGGGCTGTTAGCGAAAATCGGTTGTAAATGAGTAGAATTCGACGACCGGTTACCAACTATAGTAAGACACACTTATTTGGGAAAGATTTTGAAATTAAACTCACGGTTGAGACAATCGAGCCAGTAACTCTTTTGATTTTGTTGATTAATTGAGCCAAAGTAAGCGGCCCCTGGATGTTCTCTAAATCGGTTGATGACGCGGTAGAAGAAGACGATGTGTATGAGTGTAGAAGGAATTCTGGGAGATATCTATAAATAAATGTAAAATCAAATGCAATGTTAAACAATGAAACATAAAATTAAAACTATGAAATAGTATAATAATAATTTGGAGATGTGATGTTTTAAAATGAAAAAATGCAATCAAACTTATAAAAATGCATTGTTTTTAATGTAAATTGAGTAGGAATTAAGAGAATTAAGGAAGAGCTATGTAGGAGAGAAACTGAAGATGCATAATGCCCGACCAAAAGACGCGCGGTTTTGAATAGGCATAAATGAATAAATTAAAAAACAACTAGGAGAGAGACGTGAGCCAGTGACGCATGCGAAATCTACATAATCAATAACCAATTCCTTAGACTACTTCAAAAGCGTTCAATTAAAAGATTTGCTCTTCCATCTTAGGAAAGGCGTTACACCTCACCGTCGGTGACTTCTCTGAGAAGGTTTGTCAACCGACATGTGTAGCGGTGGTGAGGAATAGAATGTAACTTAGTATAGTGTGTATATGAATGTTTATTATAAGAGCATGTTAAATATACATGGTTCACACATAGCACAGAGTTCAAGGTATCAACTACACAGGAAGCATAATCTACACATAGGGTAATACTGATAAAGATAAAGTGTTAAGGGATAGAGGTTTCAAGGATGGATTACACTAGGAGAACTACATTGGACTCGACAACGAGTGTCCAGGAGGACACCGTGTCTTGTCCTCAAAGATAGGGTGAGAAGGATAGATGACAGATGAAGAGCCTCGACGACTCTGGTTCATGAGGCCTTATATAGGGTCGGCCTGGGTGTCATGGGTATCAGTAAGACCTAGCTTCTTGATTCTAACTCATCCCATACGTCTCTACTATCCGAATGGAACAAAAGATGATGCAAAATTGCCAATTGGTGTAGTAGAACAGTTCACATTATAAACCCCTTTGCCATCTCAATCCTTTTTAGTTTTTTTTGTTTTGATTTTCCATTTCATGTTAGAGGAGAGGAGCATATTAGAGACATTCATGCTACGATAGGACAGGTCCTTTAATGCATGAATTATATAAAAGTAAAAATTGATATGGAGACTTATTGTTACAAGTAACCGGCGATTTGGTTGATAGCAAAACCGAAAGGCGAATAAATATTGCGGATGCTATGTGTTTCAAGTGACATATAAATCTCTCAAATACTAAACTCTTTCAAAAGTACTCAAAAAAGAATAATGTCCAAAGAAGTCCAAGAAATAGACACAAACCTTCATTTATTTTTGCTAAATGGTCATGGAATGTGTCGCGTACTGCTTGAAATGAAAAAAAAAACGGCAACAAAAAACGTAGAAGAAGTACAAACAAAAATAATTGGATCATGATGAAAGGGACAGAGTGAAATGCAAAATATTAGGCTTATCCACCTCATAGAAAAGAGACACTAAGGCCCTCATTGACTTGTATCCTGATCCATCTACAGGCTTTTGTGGCATAAATGAAATGACAAAAAGAAGTCAAGAAGTTCCTGAACCAGCACGATGTCTACTCTTTGCACAAACCGGCACGTAACAACTTTCCGACTGAAAGAAAGGGTCTACATTCATCATATAGATGAACAGTGGCGATCTGACTTTGTTGAAATGATGCCCTGCACAGAGGAGAACGATGGATTCAAATATCTACTAATCGTCATCAATTGCTATAGCAAAAACGCATGGATAGTTTCAATAAGGAATAAGAGTGGATCAGCAATATCACAAGCATTTGCATGAATTTTCAAGCAACGATAGGACTAAAAAATGCAAGCAGATAAAGGAAAAGAGTACAACAACAAGGACATGAAATCACTGTTCAAGACTTATAGTATACATCATTTCTCAACCTGATTTTAATGTTATTTAATATCCACTGGTATCAATTCCATAAGCGTCCTGAGCTGTAAGGCTTTGAGGGGACTTTCTGGGTAGGAAGGCTTCGTGAATTTGAAATTCTAATAACTTGAAGATTTTTTTTCTCAAAGAAAATTCGCCTCATTGTTTGTCGATAAGTACTGTTCAGCGATAGAAGAAGTATAGCGTTGGCAGAAAAACAGAGCCCAAAAGAGCAGACGGCTACTTGCGTCACACCTGGAAAGAAGTCATTAAAAAGTATAATATATTTTTCTAACATTTGCTGAACGAAATAAGAATTTGTAGCGCAAGTGAAAAAGATGATGGAATCATAATAAGAGCAGTACCAGTTGTCTGAAATAGAAGAAAGAATGAGGTAACTCATATGGTGTACCTGAATGATTAAAGTTCGTAAAACTTTTCTGTGGTGCGTCAGATTCGTAGAATACGATATGGACTCTCTTTCTTTTATTTGTGATACAATTTCCTTACTCGATAGAACCAGAAACTGGATAGAAAGAAAATAATTAAGTTTCAAATCGTGTAGTCCTACCATCACTGTGTACGATATGGATACTAATACAGAAGCTATGAAAATCGAGGTTTTTTTGTTCTTCAAAGGGTACCAAACAACTCTTCGTACAATCATGAAGTTTCTTTCTCGATCATCCAAAGTCTAGAAATTCATACTTCAAAAATTTCATATGAAATGTCGGAAACCTTCAGAGGATTTCCTTCTGCTTCGATATCTACAACGTAACCGACTGAAAACAATGTAGGTTGAAAGATAACCACATAACTGAAAAAGAAAATGATATATCCATAAACGATTCGCTGTTTCTGAAAGAGGGAAGGTTTATAGTGTTAACACCATTTTTGATTTGTACATGAATGATATGATTCTTGTGAGCAATTGCTTGAAGTCGGAGAACAAAAGTTATTTGTAGGCAAGACAAATATATTCCAACAAGAAAAACAAGGATTGTAAAGACTTGGCCCAAATTCAAAAAGCGCCCGAGTAGACTGCCTTCTAGATACAGCAATCCCATCTTGCAATCCATGCACATTTTAGCCATAAACCATATGTTTGATATTAAAAATAATGTAATCTGAACTGATTTTCATTCAAAATTCAACAAATAAACAACATTTAGAAGTTTCAATAAGAACTCACATACTGAACTAAAGTCAAACACTTATATAAGTATGTTTCTTTAGCTGGCGGGGATTTGAAAATGATGAAGAGGGAGAAAATAAGAAGAACGAATCCAACAATACTGTAAATGTGCAACAACTTCGAAAAAGTTTCGAAATCAGGTAGTCCATTTTGATAAAAACAGCTATCCAGCATTTCTATTACCAGATGATGTACTGAAAGAGGAGGACAACTTCGGTGGGTGGTGTTATGAATACGAATATCAACGACGAAGACTCTATTCTTGATTCTGAACTTCTCAGAAAAAGAGCTGAGCTTCCTCTTTAATTAGCTAATTATTTGTAGCTAGGTTTTGCTGCTCAACCAGTCGAGCAGAAGAAATCTCTGAACGAAATCACTCTCGTTTCACATACCTGCATGCTTATCAGTTCGAACATCTATAGTTCACTTGTTAATATACGCCCCAGGGCTACGAAGAGATATAGAAAAAATGAGCTTTGGAAGCAATGATCACTCTGATCTCTTTACTGGAGATTTTCCGGGAAGTTCACATCTCACAAGCTGTGTTTTTGTTTTCCACCTTACTTTTCCTTTTTACTCTTGTTATGATAAGATCACTTAGTATATAATGACGTCTCGCATGATGTGAAGATAGCTAAAATTGTTTCCTCTCTGATGATACAAAAACATTTGAATATATATAGATTGAAAACAACCGAACGCGAAAAGAGAGCTCCTCAAGGTAGACGAAAACTGATTGATTATCTAACACCAAACACTGAAACTCGTTGAAACAATTTGAACTCAGTTGTTAACGGTATTTACATGATTCTCCCCTCGAATTATACTTTGCACTATGATACGAATTAACTATACTTTCAAATATATTTTACTTCAAGTGAAAACCATTTATTTTACTTGTGAGCAAACACACGCTTAGGATGGAGTAGAAACATGGCAGTTGATATAACACGTAACTCTCCCTGTATACCGATGATCTTCAATGCTATGATTCAATCTTAGAGCATTCATCCTGACCAAGAGCATCAAACCCGAAGATGAGGACACTAACAATTCAGAAATTGCCGAAACTCTTCAATTCCATCATCAAGTTTGAAAACAAGCCTTGTGTACGCAATACGAGTTCTCTGTTGCGTAGATTCCCAATTATGTACAGTTTCTACAAAATATGTTAAAATATATATATATAAATAGTATTTATCACAAGCAAGAATGTTACCATATGGAATTAAACTCTTATAAAAACTAATCGATTTGATATCAACTTTACATTTGTCATTCCAGCTCACCTTGTTCTCTCTAATCCGTGGTTCATATAGCTTTCTAAGCTCTTTGAGAACCGCTTCTGCATACATTAATACATCGGTAAAACTGATATCAATAATCAGATATATGTTTTAGTTTAGAAAATGAGTGACACTAACGCGGCATCACAGTCGGAGTTTAATATTGTCACAGAAGGAAAAGCCAAAATAGGTTTCCATGGCCCTGTGTTTTACAATCCTGTCCAAGAGTTCAACAGAGACTTAACGTGAGGATTCATTAAGCCGAGCAAGCTTACTTCATTTTTAGTATCTCTGTTTTACGACAGTTTGTTCACGAACGAACAACGCAGAAGAAGGAAGAACAAATGGAAGAAAGTGAAGCTGAACCACAACCCAAGAAGAAAAAAGTGTTTATTGATAATGAGGTTTGCTTCGTAGTTTAATCATATACATAATTCAATTTCAGGATGGCTCAATTAGAATTCTTGATGCTCTCTCAGCCACTGGTCTTCGAGCAATGCGATTTTCACAAGAGGTTTGCTCAACTTGTCTTGTTTTCTTATAGTTGTTTTTTGAAGGTCCCAAATATAGAATATATTCTTGCGAATGATTTTTCTGAGAATGCTGTTGAATCCATCAAAGAAAATATCAAACTTAACGGAGTTGAAGATAAAGTTAAAGCTCATTTCGGTGATGCAGTGTAGGTGAAAAGATTATTTATAGTTTGACTCTTCTACTTTCAGTATGACAATGATGAACCATAGAAATCTTGACAAAAGGTTTCATGCTGTGGACTTAGATCCATACGGATCAGCTTCAGTTTTCCTTGATTCTGCTGTACAATCAGTAGCTGATAGAGGTTCTTTTTCCATAACTCAATTTGAAATGACTATTATTTTTCAGGAATTTTGATGGTTACATGCACTGATATGGCTGTGTTGTGTGGTAACACTCCAGAAGCATGTTACAACAAGTATGACGCTGTAACTGTGCGATTGAAAAGTTGTCATGAAATGGTATTAATATCAATATTTCTTCATAATAATTTTGTATTTGAGGCTCTGAGAATACTGTTAAGATCAATTGATTCACATGCTAACAGATATTCGAGATATATTGAACCTCTTGTGGCTATTTCCATTGATTTTTACGTCAGGGTTTTTGTCAGAATGCATACAGGCGCGAGAAATGCCAAAGATAGCGGAACGTATGCTTTTCAGTGGTTTTTTATATCAGTACTTTGACTGTTTAGCAAAGTTGGTAATATCTATGCTTGTTCTGGATGTCATGCTATGGAAGTTACTCCTGCTCTCCGGAAGATAGTGGAAGGCAAGAGCGTGAAGTACTCACCTATTGTTTTCAAGCAAGAACTCATGGGTTATTCTAAATGGTTAACCGAGTTAACATTTGATACTTAAGGCGCTGATAACAAATGTGTTCATTGTGGACACTCTGTTCATCAAGCAGGACCTATGTACATCGCTCCGATTCACAACAAACAATTCGTTAGCGGAATATTAGAAAGGTAGCTTTATTGAAAATTGTTCTATTCAAAGTTTTTCGTTCAGCTTGAAAGCAACCCCTGAAGATCAACGACTAGGAACCCACAACAGATTACTAGGAGTTTTGAGTAACGTTTGTGATGTGAGTTATAATTTGATAGAAACAGTATGATTCTTTTTCCGCAGGAACTTGATGAACCTCTCTACTACGAGCATGATCAATTAGCTAACGTTGTGAAGTGTTGTGTTCCTAAAGCAATCAACGTTCGCTCAGCTATTTTGAATGCTGGTTACCAGGTAAGGTTTCGTCTTCCTCTTTTGTAAAGTTCATTCTTCTAGGTTTCTGGCTCTCATTGTAACCCTAGAGCTTTAAAAACAACTGCACCTCCATCATTCCTCTGGGATATTATTCGAACTGTGGTTTGTATGTGGAACAAGCCATACTGATCATCCATTTAGGCTGTCGAAGGCAATGTCAATAATAATAAATTGGACGAAAAAGCTCCTGGACGTAGAATATTAGAAAAACAAATAACGTAGGATTCCGCATAGTTCAAACAGTTTGTTTGTAACTAACTTTATTTCAGGAATAAAATTGATTTTACCCTCCATCCTTTGGCTACTAACCAAACTAAGAGTGATCAAATGATCAGATTCCAATGCAATAAGGTAAAACCACTCTTTTAAACTTGTGTTATGTAAATTACTCCAGGGTAAAAATTGGGGACCTCGGCAGAAGGCAAAGGGATCTGTTAACTCAACCCAAGCTGGTTTCCAAACAACCCAGCATCTTAAAAATTAGTTCTTTAATTGATATAGTTGTTATCATTCGGAATAACTCTAATTGTTAAATTTGTTATGAACTGTTATGAATTTTCGACACTGAATACTTCCCTCATTATCAAAATAACAAAGTATAATACAATACAAAATGCATATGCATTTTGAGGGTAATCAAGCACGGCGGGTTTCCTCCTATAATTAGAGGAAAGATGAGCATATTGGAAGTGCTAACAGACATGACTTTCGTCGGGTTAATCCTCAAAGGCTAAGGAGCCGCTAATGTGCATGTAGCTCGTGAGGTCCTCGGTGTCAATCCGTAAATTAGACCCTGATGTTTAGAACTGGAACATTGTCCGGATTACTCGGTGTGATGCAAAATGAGAGCAAATTATACTGCAGAATACATCGAAGCCACTTACGGAATCTTTGATAAAGACCGCCTTGCTTCAGCTTATTAACTATAAAGAAATGAGACAACCGAGTACTGTGCATCTGTATCATAAAATGATTTTCGCTGACGTGAAAGTGTTCACGTGAACTACACGTGTCTCACTCAACGGCACTTTTTGGCTTTAAACGGGAATTTTTTTTTCAAAATAATTGAGTAACCTGACTCCTAGTAGCTTCAGCCTGATAGAAACATCTGTTGATGGTTATATCACCAAAATATTTACCTAATTTCCTTTCATTATAATTAGAGCAGATTGCAAACGTAGGTTTCTCTTTTAAAAAAGGTCATAACACAAACGAGCAGTGTAGAACATATGTTCTTCATAATATTAATACAATTAGTGAGATAAGTTGATTCACCTCCTATAGACTATCATTATGGAAATACCGACAGGCTTGCCGTATGGCTCAATCGGTGAAGTTAAGAAGTTCAATTGAAAACAAAGGAGTCGTTGCTTTTCTTTATGTTCTTATGTGATCCCCCAAAGCTAGAACAGATGGTATTATATGAAATAGAAAGTTTTCTAAAGGTTAATATCCTCCCAAAAAGATTAGTGAACGACCTTTTAATCTTCTTAGTAATAACCTTATCAAACAGAATTAGTGCCAGTTGTCAGATTTTTGTTCAAATCTCATGTACGAGATGTTATCATCTATTCATTCAGGTGCTATTTAACAGACCACAATATAAGATTATAATCTTGATATGTGTGAGTGGATTGTGATTTTTTTACGCATCACTTAATGAGAAACAATATGATTATCTGTGTGTCTCGTTTGTTCAACAAAACGGGATGAAACGCATTAAGCTGGAAAGCTTCTTGTTCCTCTGCCATAATACAAGAAGGCTTGTTTATGTTTCGCTCCCTCAACGCTCTTTTTCTTCATAATCGTTTATGGTATTATAATAACTGAAACACTGTGATAATGGGATGAATGGAAATTAAAGAGAAAATGTGTCAATGATGCACACCCAGCTAGATGAATCCATATATGTGAACTATCCATGGATATATGTATATCTATATATGAAAACAGTAATTATATGCCTATCAAATAGATGTTACAAAAAGAGTAGTTAAGAGAGAAAGAGAATTACACGGGTTCTCTTTGTCATTTTCATTCGTTTCTATTGTAACTCAATTATAAAATACCTTTTGACTATACCTATCCTTCTGATCCTTTTTATAAAATTGACACCAGCATGACTAACCATTGATGTTTCGTTTACTGGTTAGCCGGTGAACTTTCCATATTTGGACAGTATAGGTAAGAAGATAATGACATGAACTTACTAAAGGATAGTCTGTTCGACATTTCAAAAGAAAGAAAAGCTCTTCGTCGCAAATTCCCTTATTTTTTCACTTCTCTTTCCGAACATACAATAGCAACAGGACTGAGACTAGTCGAGTGGTTGATTTGACAAGAAGAGGAAAAAGAGAAAAAAGAAAGCCGATCCAGATATCTTCTCGTAACAAAGAGAGAAAAAATGGAGATAAGAGAACTATACACATGACAAGAAGAGCTTCTGATAAGTTATCGGATGTTTTGAGAATCTGATTACGGTATTTGTGAGTTTTATCTTTTCATTTCAAGCCGTTTCTGTATATCTCTATGAATCTGTCAACATATAAAACGGAATTCTCGCTTTCCCTTGTAATCATTTTTAATATTTCTTCTTTGTCCTTCTTGCTTTTCCCTTTTAACAATTATCGTGTTCGTCGGCGTTTGAGGTTTGTCCAGATAGACACATCCCCACACTCACACTTACACAAACATCATGACGAAAGATGTTTTTAATAAGCTTATATATCGTCAAATAGAAATATCCTTGACTTCTCATACAGACTATCAAATGAAATTTTCTCTTAAAAACATTATTCTTCCATTAGAATTAGCATTAACCGTCCTTGCTGTCCAATTACGGTACTCGCTGATAATGATGGGGGCAGCGAGTTGTTGAAAAAACTGAATTTTTTTTTGCAGCCAAACTAAAACTACGTCTCTGAAATTTTCATTAGATTGTTCCCTCATAGAGGCTCACCAATATTCTACTGTGGATAGAAAAAAAACCTTAAATGTATCCAAAGCAAATAAGCTTGACATATGGAGAAGAGTAGCCTCGAAAACGGCATATCTACATAGGTGTGAAATTGGCAGTTCGTTCACACTACAGCTTCACACTCTTTTAGCTTTCATACCTTATCCTTCTGCCTCTCTTATTTTCCTTTCTACCTCCTAAATACGTGTGAACACTTTATGGCTCGGTCTCCCTTTTTTATACTCTTCTTCTCTTCTTCTCCTCTAATCTCTTATTCTCTCTCTCTATGTTATTTCTATAAACACAATTTGTCCGAATGATCCTGAAGGGATAAGCATGCGCTAAATACCCGTTTGAAACAGCTCCATTGTCTTCCTTAATCGAGCACAGAGGGGTCAATTACAGTATCCAACAAGAGCTGAGAGCTCTTCTCTAACTGCGGTATCCCACAGAGAAGTCATGTCAATTAGTACATCTATATCATCCCAGATGGAAAAGTGGTAGTAGCTAAGCTTGTGCCAAATGCACTACAGAATACAAACACACTCTAACCAAACGAATGTACATAAATGGGTAGACAGATGAAAAAAGAACAAGTTAAAGCACTCAACAGCACCGTTGGCAGTCTTGTCAATCGACACTTCACCCCATCCATTTATTTCTTTCGATACACACTGATGTTGTATATTTTAGGAATAGATGATGATCAATTGAACAATGTAAGCAATCAGCCTATTAGCCTCATCCTTCCCTTTTCTTTCTCCTCTGATGTCGTAATGCAATACGATTTTCTCGAGATGACTTACATTGCTGATTCAAGACAAAGACAATTTACAAAACCTGAGAATAGAATCTCCAAAAATTCGATGAGTTGTTTGTTCTTCGTTTTCGCCCCCTTTGATTATTTGGTAACGGAATGACCACATATGAGGATAGAATAGAGAAATGAACTATACAAAGCTTCTTTCGCATTTTGTTGATCTCATTTGTTGAACTAAGGTAATGTAAGTGGTAAAGCAGAAGCTTCAATTAGTAAATTAGCTTACAGGGAAGGGGGTAATTGTCTTCTATATACGGTGAAGAGAAAGGAGTCAAACACACTTCCTAAATTCTCGTAATGTGTCAGCCGAGATAGAAACATGTCGAAGAACAATGAGAGAAATAGAGAAGCTTACTACGGTATGTTTGTTTGCAATGAAAGCGGAGCTTCTTCTATCTTCCTCGCTTCTCTCGATCTATTTCGATGCTAACCTTACATCTCCCAATCACTCTTGTTGCTCATCTCGTAGCTAATATCCGTAATTGAAATAGGCAGCGAGCCGAGTGTCGAAACGAATCGGCTCTCGTTTTATGTGACATACCGTAGTCTGAAGAAAATAAATAAAATGCGAGAAATGAGGTGAACAAGAGATAGAAATATAGATGAAAGAAGAAAGGAAGCACGAGGAGTGATAACGTGCGAGAATACAACTGATAGACAATATGTACTTCAAACTATAAGCCCGGAGTATGATGACGATGACGATCATAGGTACCGAAGAGGAAGAAGCCGATGAAGATATAAGCTGATAGTTCTAAGAGTCTAGATAGATCAGAAGAAGTGTAATTATTATGTGTCCTTTGATCACTTGTATAGTTAGGAAAGCACTTCGACGACATAATCCAGCTCCTTTTCTTCCTCTTCATCGTCCAAGTATTTGTTGTCATTGACAGTCATCAGTCGGCAATTTGTTTCCTTTTAAGTCAAATAGCTATGCTTCGACAGATGTTGATGTACTAATCATTTGAGAAGTTGTTTTTGCTTGTGTATTTGATCAAAACATATACGTAATCTGTATAATGTACAATAGAAGAAGGAAGTAAAAAGAATTATTTTATTCGAGAGAGAGAGAGATGGTTGAGTTCTATTTTATATTTATTTGGCCTTTAAAGCCTTCGAATATGGAATAAATTACATAGTTCTGAACAAGAGACTGAGGTTTTAGAATTTGAAAGGTACTGTATTTTTGTAAATAAAAATGAAAACAAACATGGAATTTGGAGAACGAATAGAATGGAAAGGATCATCATGAATACATTATGGATACAACTACGGAATGATAGCTGTTTATTCGCCTTTGAGATGCCTTCGGTAATCATCGAAATCATTTCTGATAGTCGAATAGATTGAAAACGTTTAGGCAGATCGGCGAACCAGCTATCACCCACCTGATTTTCGAGCTCAATGCTACAAGATCTGTCCTACAGTTATAAGACAAAGATAAACTCTTTGCAGAGTTTAAAAGGGTTTGAGGTGATAAAGCTTGGAAAAAGGACAGAACTTGTTCATGGAAAATGGATACACGACACCGAACTATGCACACAATTAAATCACTTATACATATATTTATATATTATTATACATTTTCTACTAGCTTGCTTTGATTTTCCAGAGAAAGAGAGAGCGAGAGTTAGTGAGAATAGGAGGGAAGATTGTAACAGAAGAGTTTCATTAGTGATTTATAGAAGTAGAAAATATAGTAGTCAGAAAAAAAACAAAAAGAATCAGAAGGCAAGGATTTAAGCTGATTCTGTGAGTGCCGTATTAGATGGAGGACTAGCTGGTTCTTCTTCTCGTTTCGTTAACTCATCAAGAAGTTTTTGAGGGGAGGATGGTTCACTACACAACTCACGTCCGCTTGAACTATCTTCCCGGGTGGGCGATGTGGAAGCTTCGTGATGTGAGGAATTGGATGGTGAGAGATGAGGTGTTTCCTCCGAAATTTTTGGTTTTAAGTTAAGAATCTCATCGATTGATAAAATTCCTTTACGAGGTGCAGGGGGTGCTTGCAGAGGGAATTGTGATAGTTGTTGCATCAGCAAGGCTGGATTGAACATGAAGAAAGGATTGATTCCTCCAAAATTGGAAGCCAATAGATTATTGGCAGCATTATTGACTCCTCGTTTAGATAAATCCTGTAAATGAAAAAGCTAGTTAGACGAATCATGTTGTTGTTCAAACTTACATTAGTTTGTTCTGGAGAAGGTGAGTCTGTCATACTATCTTCAAATTCATTGAGATCGTCGTCTGAGTCATCGGAACCATCAGGTCGTCTACTTAATTCTACTCCAATGACATTTTGTCTGAAAAAAGAATGGTTTAATATAACAAAAATGAATAAAAACAAATATTATATTTTGTTTTCATTTTACACTTTAAAGAATACGAAAGAGTTGTTTTAAAGTGAAATTGAGTCATTGTATCATCACAAAACTTGTAATGAGCATGTCACCAACTTGTTAATTCCATATAAGGTCAGACAAGTTACAAAAGAAACGTTTTTGACATTTTTAACAAGTAAGGTCAGGTGTCTCATCGAAGAAGTTAACTTCGACTCTTTTTTTTTGTTCCAAAACATGATGGAGATTGAAGAAAACATATAATGTTTTCAGAAAAAAAGTTTGAAACTCACTTATTCTTGGCAGCAGCTGCTCTGTCTCTTTGTCGTCGATTCTTGAACCAATTGCCGACTTGCATGGCAGTTAGTCCTGTAGCGGTAGCTAGTTCCTTCTTTTTACTTGGATTTGGATAGGGATCCTTGAGGTACCATTCTCTCAGCAGGGTGCGTGTTCGTTCCTTAAAAGGTGAAGATAGAAAATTGATGCCAAATCTGTTGCAATTACCTTAAAGCAATGAGTCTTTTGTTCGCCATCCCAGATAGTTCTTGGCATGGGATACTTCTTACGAACTCTGTATTTATCGACAGGGCCGAGAGGTCTGAAAACATACAAATTAGATGAGTTATAATAAGCAGTTATCCGTATTTCCTCTTTCAAACAATTATATTACTTAATATCTTTGACTTAAATTATAATTCATCTCATCATTACATAAACAGCTGAGGAAATCTGTCTCAATGTATAGATGATAGATAGCATATTCATCTTTCAGTATGAAGAGAGTATCAGACAGCTATAAGGTAACGAGTCATCTCTTCATGGCTTGTCATGCCTTTTTTGTCCAGCTTTTCTTCAATGATTGCTAATGTCTGCTAATTATTAACTATAGGAGGAATAGATAGAAAATGATGAGAGAATAGAGAGGTGCTTTTAGTTTCAGCCTTCTGTTCATCTCTAGTTTCTTCTATCGGCCTCTTCCAATTATGTGATTACCATTATTCATCCAATTTGTAGACATTTGACAACCCATATGCTCATAAGATTTTTAAAATTTTAATGACTCGCACAAGCCTCTCTAACTTCTCTGATTTTTTGTTTTACGAAAAACAGTTTGCTTACCGTCCTCGAAGCTTCTCAGCCTCTTGGTAGTGTGCTTCCATCCACATAGCTTGAAGCTTTTGATGATTGGAGATACTGAATTTATGATTTTCTAGGATGCTGTAGAGTTCCCGAAAATTTCCCATGTGGAAACATACAAGGGCTCGGCATCGAAGGACAATTTCGTTTGTTGCCACCTAAACTAACCGAATTAAAATTATAAATTTTGTATATGTTCTGACTTCTTGTGCCTGAGCTGGCGGTAAACTCCATAAGAACCGAGCCAACTGATCTATTTCTCCAGCTTCCTCTAATCTTTCACAAGTTTTTATAATCTGAAAGAAATCGGAAGTAGGATGAGGATGAAAATTGAGAATTGAAATGAAGTGGGGGGAAAGGGAGAAAGAAAGAAATTTTGTCATGACGTGCCAGCTAACAAAAGATTTTCGTCGTCTCTCTTTTCCTTCAACGGAAGCTTCATGATATAATTTATCGCTTTCAATCTTTGTTAGAACGGGAAAGAGGAAAAGTGCTATCATTGTCTATTCGTAAACGAGGGAAATGAGCTTGACGAAGACGTAAAAGGGAATCAGAGAGGATCGCAATAGAGACGTATCCGTTCTTCGTCTTTCTCCATTTCAACACAAAGCATTCTGAATTCAGAGCACAAAGAAAAAATTTAACAAATCGTATTTTGAGTTCTAAGCTTGTACCTCTTTATTGGGTTTCTATGTCTCGGCTGTTTCTCATGCTTCAAATGCGAAAAGAAGCTGTTGATGATTTCCTTTGAAGAATGAAAAAGCAGCAGAAATGAGAATTTAAAGTTGAAACTTGGAAATAGTTCGAAAGGTTTTTGTGAATGTAAAAGCTCAAAAATACTTCACAATATTAACAAGCATAGAAAACTTGTTTTCAGAAGAATAAGTTTTGGCTCTTTGAAATAGTGTAAGCAAGCCGATATCAAGAGAATTGTCTGTGAAAAGCTCAAATAGGGACTTTGTGTGTCCATAAATGGGATTTAATAATGTTATTGGTAGTTTTAAATAGGCAGTTCTGTGGTTCACTAAGAAAATATTTCTAAAGATAGAGTTGTTAAAAGAAAAAGAAAATTAATGTAACAAAGGTCGGTGCGACATGACATAGAAAGTGTTAGAAGGCTATCATGAAGGAAACATTGAAAGGTTAATGTCAAAAAATGAAATGAGAAAATCAAATCAATGGATATGATTCATTCTATGAACTCCTACTTATTTTTCTTCAAAAGGAAATTTGTTGTCGAAAGGATATATAGATAGATGAGAAAATAAATTAATCTTTGAACCAACCTGATCTGTTGAAAGATTTGATGTTGTTGGTGATGAAGGATTAACTGTCGGAAGACTAGTAGGGATAGATGGAAATAAGCTGGATGGCGTCGGCACAGGTGTCGGAGTTGCCGGCGATTGGAAAGCTTGTAATGCCTGTATTTGGCTACCAAAGCCTCCCTGCAACGCTAGCTGCATGAGAAGCTTCTGCCATTCAGGGCTGAAGAGACCCATGCTGCTCTGAGCAGGGTTCATCTTGGTTTGACAACCGTATTCAAGACACTATGATCCGGTACTATGAGGTCGAATGATAGGGGGGCGGAGTCTGCGCTGATTGGTTCGGCGTTTTAGGCCACGCCCACTTGCGGTAACCGAGCTGCGGCTGCACGCTTCGAGACCTGGAGAAGGGCTTATTGGCAGTCAAACAAGAATTGCGAGAATGAATTGACTTTGAAAGAGTTGTTGAATAGAAAACCTGAAAAGGAAAAGATGAGAAAGATATTTTTGAAATATATGTATATGAATATGACGAGTAAAATGATCGACGAGAAACGGAAAAGGAAAACGGAAATGTAAGTGCTGCTTATGAGATGCCATATAAGGATATGATTTGATTAGAAAGATATAAGGATATGTTTCGCTAGAAAATCATGTAACAGATGAATATAGAAATGGCGTTGAGAGTAAGTAGGAAGTCGTATACGAAAAGTGCGAACATTTGAAACTAGCGGAAGAAAGAGCTTTATGAATAAACGTAATTTGGGAATAAAGGGAATGCATGGTGAAAATAAAAAAACGAGATTGTTCATTAACTGAGGGAGATGTCTTGAAGAAAAGGAACAATACTTGTATAATCAGTTGACATAATTGGAAAGAAAGAGAAAAGTTACAAAAAAAACGAGGTAGCAAGAGAGAGAGTGAGGAGGAATGAAGACTAAGGTAGATCTTGGCAAACACTTCGACTACCTCATCATCTGCTAAGAAAACGAGAAACTTACAAACAAATGTGAAAAAAAAGTACTACTCTCTATTAATTTGTCGAGAATTATGTGTAAGGAGGGAAAGCAAAGAATAGAAAACGGCATTATTGAAATATTATTTCTTTCATTGAGCTCTTTCTCTCTCTATCCTTCATTCCCTCTTTGAATCTCGGCCTTTTCTTAAGATAGGCTAAATGGGTGAGTAGTGCTGAAACCCGTTGTGAAAATATGAGATGAATAAGATTGAAGAAAAGTGAAAGAATTGGATGTCATAATAAGTAGCAATCTCAACACAATATTCTAACAATAGGAAAGAAAAAGCTGAGGGTCAGACACGAGCTTGATAAGTGCTAAGCTTAAGCTGCTGATGCTTGTGAGCAGTGTGCTTGATAAGGAAAATGAAATGAACAAAGACGTGACCAAATAAAGAGATTTCTAAAATTTACGTAAATACTGTCTTAATGAAATGAGAGCTGCAAAGATAAAGGGGTGAGGTGAAGAACCTGCAGTGACACGAAAGATGACGATGAAACTGACATTTAGCTCTTACCCTCAGATCTGATATCGACAGGCAAAACCAAATGCCAAACTTACATTATGAAATGTGAACCAGAAGTGTTGACGACATCAGAGACACAGAGAGAAAAAAATGACACAAACTCATCGAACATAATGATCATCCTATCCGTTTCGATGAGACTTTTATTTTGAATTGTTAGATGTCGCATCAGCAGCTTTCCTCATTGAAGTATGTTTTCTTCATTCGATCAGAATGTGTCAGAGAAGACGTCGTCTCCGTAGCTGGAGACCATCAGAAGACACGAAAGCACATTTGCGGATGTCCAAAGAAATCGACGATGATAATGAAAGAAAGACAATCAACAAATTAGCCGGGCGTGTGTTCTTCTCTCCTTTTGTCGTCTTCTATTCTGCCTTCCACGATGTATACAAGCGTTAACCATCAGAAGATAGCACTTAACGAAACAGAACTTCGTCTTCTGACGCTACTATTTCTTTTATTGGATTACTGTAGAGGAGAAGGGTGAAGAGAAGGCAATAATGATGATGTGTATCTTAGAAGATAGAAAAAAGAAATAGAGAACGAGTGAAAGATAGGGTGTATGGAAGAGAGAAGGTTAGCTTTTCATGATTTGTTTTCCTTTCTTTCTTCTCACATTTATCAGTTACACAAGCAATATGCCTACTGATTCTTCTACTCCGGAAAAAACGAACAACTATCGCACAGTTTTTGAGTTTTTCATGTCATTGCTCCGAATGTTTTGTGTGTTCTAGAAAGCCGCTTCATACTCCTTCTCATGTCATTACTGTACAAATTGAGAAGCAGATGAAGACGAGGTTCTTTCCATTCATAAATAACGCTTAAGATAACTATCGAAGGTCAGCTATTCACGAAATGTGATGGAACCATAGGTCATCGAGGCATGTGGTGGCTACGGCACGAGCTGGATAAACACCTTCTGGCATCCTGTTCACACCTCAAATCTGTCCATGCTTCTAACACAACCTGTGGTCGTCTCTACCATTTTGATTTCAAAGAAAGATAGCATACCGTCATAACTTGAGGATACACTACACATTTTCACTAAAAATTATATACTTTTCTGCGCGATCGCTGTCGCCAGAAAGGATTATAAGTCTGATACGGTATCTAAGTGGTTATATGCATTACATCTATACATATATAGTTTCGATTTTGTCGTCTATTATGTGATTCTTAATTAACGACATGGGTTAGTCTTCGTTGACGTTTCCATTTTGATAAGGCTCTTTCATTTACCCTAAATGGACTGTGAAAGGCAAAGAAAATGAGAAACAAGAAGACAATCCGTTGTGGATGAGAACGAATGTATCAGACTTCATCCATTATTTTAAAGAGTTAATCAGTTTATCAGCTTCTCTAATTGATCTATCATCCATACTGGGTATCAACTGAGACCAAAGGATAGCTGACGAGAAGTAGCTTTCGCGGTGTGCTCATCTAACAACCATAAAATTCTGTATTATTTTTACGAAGGAAAAGCATTCCTATTGAAAAGAGGAATAGAAAAGATGACATAGAAGGATTGGCTTCTGTTTACTTTTCGAGTGCTCTCATCATACATGGATAATCGCTGTAGCATGTCGATTAGTCGCTATTAGAACATACCGTGTCAAGCAGGTTGCGCAACATGGGTGAAAAACATTAACTGTTTATTAGAACCTCAAGATGATTGAATAAGGAAGGAAGAATCATTGTTCATATATATTACCTTAATGGCTATACAAATAAGAACGAAGGATGATTGAGTAACTTCTACTTACAACCTATTCAATTTTCGAGGTAAAAACACCTTTTTGGAAAGGCTATGTTCCATCGAAATTTGAGATTGTAGCTGACAACCAGCCATCATATAACGGACGATTACTAGCAAAAAAGAAACCCTAAACCTTAAGTATACATCTACAATGCTTGTCTCGGCATCGAAATATGATGAGTTGACTTTCAACTGATGTGCACATCTCTATTTCTTTCATTTACCCTACTCTCTCTCTGTATGTGTCTTTCAACCTAATTTGGATGATAGAAAATGACTTAAACTAACAAGTTATCCAATACATCAGGGAACAGATGAATTATCTAAACGCTTTACTGGCTCAAGAAACAACCAAATGTGACCTTAACTGTATCCGGTTTCGACAATGCTCGGTTCTATGCTGTGTATCTCCTATTTCCATGCGACAAATCCAAAGCGATTGTGTCATTTTTGCTTTAACTAGAGATGAGCAGTCATCTCGTGACGTAACGATAATCCAGCCATGTTTGGTAAACAAAAGCTGTAGTTACAAATAGGGATAAGAAGATACAGGTGAGCAATGTCGGCTTAACTGGAAGAGCCCGGTGGTTCGGCGTAAAGTTGAGCGATGTGAAATATGATAAAGAAATTCTCAAATTACTGAAAGTACTAACAGCCAATAGAAATGACATGTTCGATGAGGATGTTTATAAGTAAATGATTCTGAGAACTTTGGACACGTTAAGTCTTAAGTATACGGTAACCACATACTCTCCAATCACTTGAAATCTACAAGCTATTTGATAGCTCATTTAAGGTCAATAAGTAAGCACAACTACTATATGAGGACAAGTACTAGGAATATCAGGTAATGCTCTTTATAAACTTTTCTTTAGAATATGCTATAAAAGGGAAACTCTTTGAATGTCTAAAAATGAACCGAGAAAGGGTTAGAAAGTTCATTACTGCAGTTTAGTCAGAGCAATTAGAAGCTAATGGCTCAGCTTGAAAGGAAAACTTACGTTTCAATGGAAGAATAGTAGAATATGTATCAAAGTTTTGAGAATCATCAAGAGGAAGTTGACACTACGACAACGACAACCACCAGGACGAAACGAAAGAAAGGAGAGGCCGGTTGTGAAGAACCTTGACCACCGTAATCCTGTTAGTTTGTCTGCTACAAGATACCGCCTGACAACCATTGATACAGAAACTAATCCTCATTAAGATTACCATGAGAAGGCTATCGTCATCACCGTCTACGCTATCAACACTCTCAACAACTTCCCTAATCACCTTCTTTTCCAGTTTCCATCCGAATAATATTTGGTAGGAAGAACATATTGATTAGAATTGTTCTCTAGCCAAAGAATATGTATAAAGAATCATCCATTTCTGGTCTCTTATCAATGAAGAAATGTATGACGGGGTATAATAGCTTGCTCAGAGGTTACGGTATCTATTACCGTAATGTGAGCCCGAAGGGGGGGGGATGATCAAGGGCGTGTACTTCACAAATTTCAATGAAAAAATAGCTGATTGAAGAAGTTGAGAAGATGATAGAAGAAGAAAAAGAAGAAGAAGAGGAAGAGCTTCTTGTTTTGATACGTATAGCAGAATGATTTTGTAGAGGAAAGGCAAGGAAGAAGTTATAAGAGACTAATAGATAAACATGTACAGAAGGGAAGGGGTGAGAAGTGGATTGAAAATAGAAGAAAAGTGATTGTCGCAAAGGACGACTGTCAAAGAGAAAAGCTGGCTCGAGTCACTTTCGGAGCATTTTATGTGTGTTTAGTCGAGAGTAATGAGCGAGAAACGATGTGTTGATTCCAAAAAGCTGAATGATGAAGTATGAAGGCAATATACATACAAGATATATACTATATGGTAGATTAAGTCGAATAATTCATCAGGTAAGCTCCGGAAACGAGAGAGAGGGGTTAGTAAGAATGAGAGCAGTGTATGCAAAAGGTAAATGAAG